AAAAAAAAAAAAAAAAAAAATTAAATGGCAAAAATGGTAAATTTTATGTTATGTGTATTTCACCACAATTTAAGAAATATGTAATTTGAGGCTTGGAGAATTTAATTAAGTGATTTACCTGATGTTAACTGACAGCTGATACGTGGTAGAGCTGTGTTTTAATCTCAGTCATCTGGCTCTTTGGCTCATGCTTTTTAAAACAATTACAGGGAAAACTTTATTTTGGGCCATTTAGGAGGTTTAGATCATTTTGATCATCTTCAGCTGTCTTCTCTTTACATGCAGGAAAGGCCTTGGAAAGCAGTGGTTGCGCCAGACAGCCCAGGGAAGAGCCACAGCCTGAGGACCTAGGGCCACCTGCTGTTCCCTGGGATTCATGTCCTTCTGGGGTGGAGGGAGAACCCAGGACAATGGCTGCTGTTCATGATCTGGAGATGGAGAGCATGAATCTGAATATGGGGAGAGAGATGAAGGAAGAGCTGGAGGAAGAGGAGAAAATGAGAGAGGATGGGGGAGGTAAAGATCGTGCCAAGGGTAGAAAGGTCCACAGGATCGTCTCAAAATGGATGCTGCCTGAAAAGGCCCGAGGAACATACTTGGAGAGAGCTAACTGCTTCCCGCCCCCTGTGTTCATCATCTCCATCAGCCTGGCCGAGGTGAATGGGGAGCGGGGTGGGCAATGGGGTAAGTGGCACAGGGGAGTTGCAAACAAACTAGGGGTCAGATCTAGATCTAGAGAAGAGACTGGGAACGTGTGAGAGAGCTCGGCGGGGATGGGGACAGCACACACCTCACCTCTGCCTCCGCCCTCCCCACAGCTGCCTTTGAGGCTTTCCCTATACTCACGGTCACTGCCAACCCAGGTGGAGTTTCCTTTGTCAGACAAAGCTGCCCAGCTGTGGCTGCAGTTTCAGTGGCTTCCTTTCATTTTAGCCGTGAGGTCTTTAGGGACCAAATCATCCTGGGGTTGCACATAGGCTTTCTCTCATGAACCGATTGAGACTGGTTGGTAAGGCCTTTCTGGGATCCCAGGTTTAGAACTATTGTAGAATGCTTCTGAATTTCAGTGGGAAAAAACCGGGATCCTTTAACAATGTCTACTTCAGGCAATATGTGATGTGTTTTCAGGCTCTGATCTAGCCAGTCCTCTTGTTTTCCAGAAAAGACTGCAAGTCTCAGAGAGGTGGGATGACTTTCCCAAGGTCACATCATAGTCACTGGGCCAGGATGAGGCTCCCCTGAACCTCATGGCACCTAGTTTTTTCCCCCACACTTGATGTCCTATAAAGGAACACGTGATGTCCTAACACTTGATGTCCCCACACTTGATGTCCTATAAAGGAATTGGCCAACTGTGGCTGCCTGTGGAGTGGGACTTCAGGGGCATTAGGCAGTTCCTAATGGAACCCTTTTAGTTCCCACTGATGCACTGATGCCTCAGCTTCCTTTTCACAAACCGTATTCGTCAAGAGTTCTTCAGAAAAACAGAATCAATAGGTGTGTGTGTCCTGGGGGAAGAGAGATTAATATTTATTTTAAGGAATTAGCTCAAATGATTATGGAGACTTGGCAGGTTCAAAATCTTCAGGGAAGGCTGGCAGGCTGGAGGCCCAGGGAAGACTTGCCATTCAAGTCCAAAGATAGAGTTCCGCTGGCAGAACTCCCTTTCCTAACAGAGGACAGTCTCTTCTCTAGCAAGGCCTTCAACTGACTAGACAAGGCTCACCCATTGTATGGTGGGAAATTGGCTTTACTCAAAGACTACTGACTTAAATATTAGTGTAAACCGTACCCTCACAAAAACACCTAGGATAATGTTTAAGCAAATGTGCGGGTAGCATAGCCTAGCTAAGTTGACACATAAAATTAACCGTTGCAGGGACCAAGCCTCTTATGGCTCAGATAAAGGTAAGGCTAAGGTGTAAGCGTCCCAGGAGATGCTGTGGTCAAGTCTGTTTTGGTTGAAAGGGCACAGTTCTAATTGTTTTCACAGGATTTTATTGTGAGACTGCTTGCAACTGGGAAGTCTTCGGATCTGAGGCGTCTGTATCTGCTTTTTCTGCTTCTCCCTCCTGTTATCCTTCCGGCCTATGAGTTGTCTTGTGTTCCAATCAGCTGTGTGTGTGTCTGTTCCAGGTGAATGGGGAAGAATGAGATAAGCTCTTGTGGTACAAATCACAATTGCCTAGATAGTGAGTGCTATGGAGGAGGGTGGTTTGCCATAGGAGGCTCATGGAGCAGGTGCTGAGACACCTGCCTCTCACAGAAAGACCAATTTTTAAATTAAACATTTTCAAATAAACTTTTAGATAAAATAGAAAGTTCCTGTATGCTCCTCACCCAGTTTCTCCCATTGTTTATATCCTACATTTCCATAGTACATTGCATTGTTTTTCTTTTTTTTTCAAACCCAGGATAATCTCTGTATATAGTACATTACATTTCCATTGTGTGTGTGTGTGTGTGTGTGTGTGTGTGTGTGTATATATATGTATTTTTTTTTAAATTTGAGACGGAGTTGCTCTGTTGCCCAGCCTGGAATGCCAGTGGCGTGATGTCAGCTCACTGCAACCTCTGACTCTCAGGGTCAAGTGATTCTCCTGACTCAGCCTCCCAAGTAGCTGTGATTACAGGTGTGCACCACCACGCCTGGCTAGTGTTTTTTTTTTTTTTT